GTAACAAATGAAATCAGATAAAAACATCATTTCTAATAAAGTACTTTTTAACTTTAATACTGTAACAATTCGATAGATGGCGCTGAGCAACTCTTAGAACATGAGTTGCTGTGTGTAATAAAAGATGTTAGTTAACTAAAGGTAAAAAATGAAATGGAATGGGATCTTCAGTTCGCAGCTAGTAGAACCTACGATTTTTTTGTTTTTGTTACTATTTAACCTTCTATCTGTATTGATCAATAATCTAAAATAAATAAATTAATAGTTTTTCGTTAATGATTTCTGTATCGATCAACAACCAGAATTGGTTGAAAAAATCAACACTAACATGAGCGAAGCTGCGAATAAAAACTAGTACATAATAATTATACGATATTATTATTTAAGGACCCATAAAAAATGGCCCACCCTTTCCAAAAAAAAAAAAAAAGGTTTAAAAAAACGGGAAAAACAATTAGTTTTTTTATTTTTTTTTTTTTTTTTTTTTTTTTTCTATTTCTCAAAAAAAACACAAACCTTTTTTATTTGGGTATAAAAAACCAAAACCTTTTGGTAAGGCGGACCAAAAAAAAAAAAACTTTTTAGGGGGGGGGGGGGGGAATAAAAAAAAATAAAAAAAAAAAATAAAAAAATTTTTATAAAAATTAATATTCAAAAACTGAAGGTAGCCGGACTGACTATGACATTGGGACGTCAAACATCTCGACCATCGACCAGGTGCTGTAAAGTACTCGAAACGTCGGGATAGTAAAAACAAAAAACAAATTAAAGTAATTAAACGCGATAAAATCCGTAAATCATAGTTTTATTCAATGTGTAGTGTTCGCGTAAATTTAAGAAATCATTATAAAGTATAAAATTTAACATTTTTCAATATTTGTCAAACGACAATCTGTTTTAGTTTTCAAACAGCGCCATCTATCATCAAATGGAGAGTTAACAATAAATTAAATAATTTTAAATTACATTATAGTAATTTTTTATATTTAGATTTATACAATTATTTATTTTAGGGCTTATTTTTTACTTTTCAGTCTTATTTTCCCATTTTAAAAGTGTAGTAATTTAAAAAGATAATAGTGAGATCTGTTAAAATATGAAAATTGATATGGTTTATAGTTTAATTTATTTGTAAACTGATTGAAACTGGTTATTCTGCATTTTTTACAAAACCTTCATAACCGTTGTGTTATTTTTGTGTAGACTATTTATTATGCAGTTTGATAAAAGAGTTTTTAGCATTTATAGATACGTCGTTGCCAGATCATAGAACAATCATATCATAAAGTACGCCATAATTTTGTGAAATGGTGTCTTTTCATGATATTAATCACTTTTGTGGACCACCTCATAATGTAGCTTAACCAAGTCAATGAATAGAGAGCGTTTACGATATTAACAACTAAACAAAACAATGCTATTTCATGATATTATGGTCACATCGTCAATTATATTTTCAGCGCTAGCAGAGCCGATAGAGTATTTTTTAAGAGAAACAGAATATTTAACAGACTCAACATCAATTTGATGACTTATTTATATAATCAATAAAAGATTCGTAACTGGGGGACGCACCCCAAAATACTATCGCTGATATTACTAGATATTATAGTTTTGGCTTTCAATTTTTCATATAATATAAGCGCCATCTACTTATTGTTAAATAAACTAATGACAAGTCAACGATAAAATTAAATTAATAATAGAATGCCACTGAATACTTATTCAGTAGCATTCTGTTCTTTAATTTTGTCTACTTGTGTAAAAATAATCTAATTATGTAAGAAAGCAGACTTAATTTAAGTAAAGGCCTATTTTATTTTACATGTCAAAGGCGATAATCACTGATCCAAAAGTAAATTTCATAGTTCATAAGCAACCCTAATTTGATATATTTTAATAGCAATTTGAAGTGTCGATTTACCACGTTATCGGCGGTGAAGAACAAAATCGCGAGGAAACTATATCTGGATATCTGAGAAGTCCTCCAGTTGAGGTCATCTCGCATTGGGGTCAGAGTAGCGAACACTTTATTTGCCCCATAACTCTCTGCGGCCTGTACACAGTTGTGGAATTTATGTAGGCTGCTACTTTCTTACTTTTAATTTGGTAAATAAGCAGTTTATATTTGTTTCAAATATGATAGGTAGCAAAGATAGGTAGAACTCATCATCGTTATCATTACAGCCGGCCAAGCCTATGAACAGTCCACTGAACTGAATATGAGATATCCCACATAGATTGTCAAATAGTTTGGATATTCGCTGTAGTTGCCACACCTGGCAGGCAGGTTGGCAAATCAAAATGTTATCAGGAAGATAAAGCTACCCATCGCTTATTTGTTTGATGCCACTGAAAGAAGTGAAAAATCGCAAATCGACATATAATACCGCAAACTAATTGACAATCTTGAAATTCATCATTATTTTGTTAAAACTAAAATAAGTTATAATTATGTATATATATACACCTGTGAAGAGTAAGATGTAAATAATGTAAATTCGATTTGTCCTTTTTAATTGAATGAATTTTGGCACGGAACAGCATTTATATATGTTCTTGAATTGAATCCCATTTGATAAAAAGCTAGTATCTAATAATGAGTATAAGGCACTTAACTTTAAAAAGCCTCGTGTAAGGATTCAATAAATGTCTTTTTTTAATTTTTGATTTGAATACACATATAAACAGGTTGTTTAAGCTTACGTGAATCAACTGATGCTATTCGTTTGGTCGTGTAGGCTCTCAAATTGAGAATGCTTCTCGCGTACCGTAAGAGCACTTGTATACGCATGCCTGAAGTGTTCTAATATAACATTTTTGTCGGAATATTTAAATTTTATTGAATGCATTTTTCTAACTCTATATATTATATTAAACTATTTTAAGTTAAAATTTTGATTGCTTAACTATTGTGTTTATTTTAAAGACAGATAACATGTATCAAGGTACAAATAGTTTAAAATTAACAAAACTTCCCAGTTGTACGCCGTTATCAAACATTTAACAAAAATATTACGAACATAAAAAGTAAAGAAAAGCATACAGACATAGCCATAATTTTGAACAGCTTTGTATAACATATGTACAATCCGTCAGAACTCCTGTTGTCTATCTTAGATGTCTGACGCTATTGTTCGGGTACTTAAGCGCGACATACCTGAGATTTTGTGGTAACGGGTGTTCGAGGTTGGGATCCTGATGGCCCACTTCTTTCAGCATCTCTGAGACAGGCTGAATTCATATAATTGTAATTTAAATTTAAACGTAAGTCTATTATGGTTTACCGAAGGGTCAAAAAGTACCTCAACGTAGGCTTTAGAATTTATGGGCAATGCACCAAATTCAAAATTGGTATGAACTTGGGGAAATTCACCTCCAACTTTCAGTAAGAAATCTACGCCATACTTTGCTGTACAGAAATCAACGTGCGAACAAAATACACCAACCATATAGCTTTGTGCTAGCTAACGCTCTAAGCTTTGAGATCAAACCTAATGACCTCAAAGCTAGTTGGAGATTTCGTTAATCTAATCCTGCATATTAGACTTAAATGCAATAAATAAATAAATAGTTGCTCGCACAAAAAACCGGTCTTTTATATAATATATCATTTTAATTTTCTATATAGCTATATCCTATATATTTCTTAAGGATTGGATTGGATTCTTAAGGATTGATTGGATTAAATATAACGTTTGTGTTGAATGAATGTGAATGTTTTACAAATAAATATCTTAAGATTTTGTTTCAATTTACAGAAATAATTTTCTCTCCATTAATTCCAAATGTCTCTAAAGGGGCGCTTTTATTGCTATGGAGCAGAAAATCCCTTAATGAAAAGTTACTCCTAATCTAATTATACAGACACTGAATATGCGTAATTCGTTTTTGTCATTTTTGTAAAAATAAGTTCTTGTAATTATAACAAGACTTCTTTCAAATTAAAAGGTTTTAATTAACTTTGCTTACGGAAGTTTTTATTCAATGTGAATGGTAAGTTGTTTTAATGTAATTTTGTCACGCTGCAGCTATAATATGGCTGCAGCACGAATAGGTCGGCTCGAACGTGGAAGGACTGCATTTGTACAGAAAGCAGCATCTTAGTTCTCATGGGACTGAGGGGTGACTTCTTAAACGAGGTGTAGGTGTAAGTGTAGGATGTAGGGGTACGTGGGCCGAAACTTTCACCTAATTATTTATTACGGTAGTAGCAAGTTAATAATTGTAATATAAATATATAATACCAGTTTTTGTTTGGCCTTAATTTAGAATCATAAATCATACTATTTCGTACCAAAATGAGCAAAACTAGATCACTTCTAGAGACATACCTTGGTATCTGTTTCTAAATTGGACGTAGGAAATTATTGAAATTTGGCAATATAATATGCTACAGAAGCACATAAGTAAGTTTATCAGTAATACCATACGCACCTTTTTGTCGGGCATGTCTTCCGCTGTGTCTTTATGAAGGGAAAATTAACCTGGAATCAGCAGGGCTGGACAATGCGTCGGAATGATTTCTCTCGGAAACGGAAAAGTTTCGTTCGACTAATTTTCGATCCAAAAGTCACAGACTTTGGTATTCACATCTCCTCTCGTTTAGGATTCGACACGGAAAGCTTTTCGAATGTCAGTGGGAGTGCATTATAGATTGTCTATGCGTCGGAAGTGACCTCCGTCCCTCATACAATTTTGTAATATTTATAAAGAAAGATAGTCGAAAATAGCACTAAACTATATAAAACGTTAAAGTCTTCAAATATGTTATATTTTTAATACAAATATTGTAAATTGATCTAAATTTTCGATAAAATAACATTACTTTTAATATACTTTATTACTTTTAATGTACTTTATTCTAAAAAATTAATCTTTTTACTAACATAATTCGTAAATGCTATTTTATTGTCATTGCGTTTCGGAGCAAAATACTCTTATTAGTTTGTGATTGTCACTAAATTGAACTATTTTTGTGTGCTTCAAATAAAATAATAATGGAAATTCCTGTGGTGAGTGGAGCTATTCAAGTTATTTAATTGTTACATCTTGATTTCTTTGATTTTAGTACCTAATAAGTTTGTTGATTATTAAAATATATTCATACTTCTGTGAGCAAAGAAATTAAAAAAAAAAACGATTGCAAATGTACATTAAAAGTTTTACCTATTTAGTCTAGTCTTCATTAAAACTAATTTTACATATATTTTTTTTGTATTTCAGCAAAAAGGATCACGTGTTTCCTACGAGCAGCGTGAAAAAATGTTTGAATTCATGGTGGCGCATCCCGAAATCGGGTTGCCGGCGCAGATGCTGCCCGTAGGAAAATAAAACTGCAGACTGAACTAGCCACAATTTTAAACAGCTGTACCAGAGGAGCAACAAAAAGCTCCGATAAATGGATAAAGGTATGTCTGTGTTTAGGTGCTAGAAGTTCATACATATTGTAGTGTTAGTCTAGTGGATCGCTTAAAGCCAACTTTGTTATGTATGCCTACAAATGTGCATTCTAACCTTTATTAATACAAATATTTGATAGTGTTGGCAAGACTGGCGCAGCGATGTTAAATCGAAAGCTGCCGAAATCCGCCGTGCTCAGCAGCAGACTGGTGGAGGGCCTGGACCTGCACCCTTATCTGCCATGGAGGAATCTCTAATGGCATTTATTGGCCACGAAGCAGCAGAGGGCCTTGCTGTTGCCGATACCTTAGAGGTACTACAAATTCATATTTAATTTTTAGGATTCAATACTCTCCATGCTTCCTTTCGATTTCATAAAAAAATGGAGCTTTGTAGTGTAACTTGTATTTGTACCAAACAACAAATATTTATTACAAAAATTAATAAGTTGCTAAATGTATGTTCATAGTTATTTAAAATTTACTATTAAATATCTAGCACTAGAATAAACTCATTCTCTCATCAAAGAAATGTGCATCTGCATATTCTTGTGTATATACAACTGATAGAGATCCCTAACCCCATTTATTAGTGAGAGAATTAGGAAGGATATTATACAGTTTAATTTCGTTTTGTCTTTACAGATTCCTGAAGGTGATGCAGAAGTGGAAGCTGGTGGTGATGAAGATGTCCACAATCCGGTTGTGGATGATAGAAAAACAACGAAAAAACGTAATTATACGTTATTATTTCATGTCTTAATATGTTGTATGTTGTTGTAGAAGATAGACTTGAAGAGTGTCTAGAAGTTCAGGCTGCAGCCATGAATACGCTCTCACAGTCAATGTATAATTTGGCTGCAGCCATAAATAATTTTGTTGCAGCCCTCAAATCCATGACCAATAAAAGTGATGAATGAAGTTTAATCTAAGGTAGGTCAATATAGTTAAATAATTGTGGTTAGTATCAATTATTTAAGTTTAATTAAAAGAATAAAAGATAATAAACAAATAATTACTTATAAATTGTTATTAATAAAATAATCTTTCTATTAATTGTCACACTTGAAGGCCCCGCTCATATATTTGTATCTCTCTATAATTATCTGCTGTACTCGCGTTTGGTGCTAAAGCTTCTTCATCAACTATGTCGGGAAAACTAAGTCCTGCTGTTATGCATTGTGTAAAACTGCACATGCATTTACAACGCAGCCTACTTTTGTTGGTTCATACTCCATTTTTCTTAGTAAGCATCGAAACCTTGACTTAAGAACACCGAAACACCTCTCAATATTGTTCCTTGACCTTATATGGTTATTGGTATATCGACTTTGAGGTGTGTTTTCTTCAGCATTAAGGATCGGTGTAAGGAGCCATGGCTCCAAGGGATATCCTGAATCACCTGTAATTCAAATACACAACTAGAACATTACAAATACTGTTTTAATTGAGATTATTTGTTTCAGATTTATCGAAAATATTGTTTATTGCAATACCTAGAAGCCAGCAAGTATTGCCTTCACCATTAAGGTTCATCATCACCTTTCGTAGTGCACTAAACCTCCATATAAAGGAATCGTGTGTTGCACCAGGATATCGTGCACACACATTTAATATATGAAAAGCGAATTAAATTAGTACACAGTTTAGGTCACTTGCATAATTAACATACAGAAGTCATAATGATCTTATTATTAAAATTCGAAACCAATGTCCTGAATTTTTGTAAGGTATTTGTACTTAAATATAAATGACACAGTTCGGAGGGATCAACAAAACAGAGTGTAGCCATGTGGTGAAATCTAATGTATTTACCATTTGTGCATTAAGGGTGTGTTCACCCTTTCCATTTACATAAAGTTCTTCATGTTGTGTTGGCTTCTTAAGTTTTATATGTGTGCCATCAATATAGCCCAATACTCTAGGAATTCCGAATTTTTGGTAATTTCTGCAAATGAAAATAAGACTGATTGTGATACTAGCTTCTTAGACATTCGAAAGATAAAACTATGTGTGTCAAGGCAATTAGGTTCCTACTTAGAAGATAATTGTTATTTTTAATTTTTTTTAAATTATTATAGTTATAGTTTTTAAAATTTTAATAATTTGTTGTAATTTCTTATTTAAATGTTGACATGTTAAAATAATAAACCATTTATGTAATATGAAAGTATTTATTATTTATGAAGTTTTCTGACAAACTACTTGTAAACATATTTATGTCCCACCGCTACTTATGTGCACAACCTTCTCATAAGGGGTCTAGCCTTATATCTCACTCTTAGCTGCTTTGGGTATTTTAGGAAGACGGCACATACTGCTGCTGTCTGTAACCTGGTCAGTCCCTTAGTTGCCTACTGAATGAAAACCACATGGATTACTTCGAGATGGTAGCAGGTTTATTATGTGGTTTTCTACGCTGCAGCTGCATTATAGTTGTAGCATGAATGCGTCGGCTCGACCAGGGCAGGACCACACTCATAGAATACCAGCATAATCCGCCATATGTACTTTTTTGTGCATGAAAGCATAAATAAATAAATAATGCTGTTGTATTTTGTATGGTGAGTGTAGAAAATTGGAGACCCTTTTTACTGGAATTAAGGCATTCCAACTTAGTCCTCAGCGGTGACAACACATTTACATTTTGATACTTAATTGAGAATAAATGTCGATGTCTATGAGCCACGGAATCCACTTACCATTACATAGACTGTATGCTTGTGTGTCACCCAATGCAATTAAAATAAAGGTACCTAATATAAATTTGCATCGGGAAAGATCACCATAATTTTTGAATTTTAGTTTCTTATTGATACATATATTATGCTTGATAATACCTACCTACAGATTCTATATTGAATAAGTATGCTATAGGTACCTATGTCATTTAAATTTTGAGATTTACCTTAAAACAGTTGCTTCCATTTGAGGACGATTTGGAAAATTAATCCAGTTTTTGATAATTTGAAGCTGATTTAGTGCGGCCACTGCCTCTCTAATGGCTCTGCTGGAAGTAGGCTGGCTTACTTTGAAGTCCACACCCTTTGTTAAACTTTTTTGATAGGAGCCATGTGCGAAAAAATGTAACGCGCAGAGGAACTAAGTACAAAAAGAGAATTAAAATAAGTAACAACTTAGGTACGGTACTGAGTTTACTATCTAGATACCTATTTACCTTTAGTTCTACAGGAAGTGAGCTTAAATATTGATGTTGTTGCCAAACAGGCTTTAAATCATTCACAACAGCCAAGGCCAAGTCCGGGGTGAGTCGGTAATTCGAATGGAAGTTTGGGTTCTCATACGGATTCGACAAATCGCGAAACCGTTTGTTTCGGATCATTGTTTGCATCCGTAGCTTCTCTTTTTCATGGTTGCGGACTCACCTATGAAAAATTAATGCTACTATGCCTCATATTACTTATATCTATAAAATTAGTGATAGAAAACTTATAAAAACACACCTTTCTTCCAAATATTCACAAAAAAACAGTTTTGCAAATTAAGTGCAAATATTGAAATAATTGTATAGAAATATGTTTTATACATTATTGCAATTAATTTATGTTACGCACCTTATACTTAGAAAAACTTATTTATCTCTTATTATTATCAATATTTAAGTTTTCGCCAGCCTCAGGGGTCTCGTAAAGTTTCCGATGCGAACTGTCACAATTCCCGAAAACGAATGTCAAATTCATCCGAACGGCGAATGTGAATAGCGTTTCATTGTTTCCGTTCGAAAAGTTATCGAATCCGAGTCGATTTCCCTTTCCGAGACGATTGTGAATAGCCCTACAGAAATGCGTTATTTAAATGCGTTATTATTCATAATTAAAGTTGAAATTGTTTTGACAAAATAATGTGGAATTTCATGGTCTCTATTAATATTGACCCCATTGAATATTGAATGACACCATAAATTATATGCCATTATTTTTTATGTTTAAATAGACTTCAAAATTTTATATGTGGTTCTATTCACGGTGAACGGCCGCATCTAGCAAAATTGATTTGAACCGAATAGTCTTTTTTCTTTCTAATATGTAAATGTCTTTTCACTAATTGTTAAGATTTACAATTACATAATATTTTCTCACCAATTTTATTACTATTACTCTCTTTTTATTAAAATAATATGCATTTAATTGTGTTACAGATAGTAATCCTAGGTAGAAAAATATACAAATGTTAAAATATACAAGCTACTACAAATAATCTAGAAAAAACGTCAAACAATAATAAGACACCGCAGTTTATGTCCTTAACTAACATTTTTATTGCAGTATGCTACTTAGTTTGAAGTTTAGGCTAAGTAATCTAAATGCAAGAAAAATGTTTCTCAACTTTTAGTACGTCCATAAAAACACAATTTGTTTGTGCAGTGGAAAATTCACCTTTTTTTGAAATTCTAACATCTTAAGTAACAATTCTTTACAATATGAAGCTTTTAGATCCACAAACTTAGTCACGATTTATTCAACGTTATTTTTATGGTAATGGTTATATATATATATATATATATATATATATATATATATATATATATATATATATATATATATAGGCGCGATAAATTAAAATCCGAATTAAGTCCGCACTTTAAAAACATTTAGTTTAGTCTATCGGAAATAAACGTAGTTTTGAAACATCGTCTAGACATATCATTATCATTCCGAGGGTGTCGTTAGAGGTGACATAGGGAAAATGAAACAGGAGATGGGCAGCAACATTGTCCTGACAACATCTTAAAATAATAAGAAAACAGCAGTTACCAACCCGCTTGCCAAGCGTGGCAACAAAGGGCTTATGTTCAGCAGACGCACCAGTGATTATATATATACATACGGAGTGTCAGTGTAAACACCGTTGTCCTTGAACCAGTGGTTTTCACTTATAGAACGTGAATTCAATGAATTTAAAAAAACCGCTATTTTCTTTCAAAATTTTTAAAAAGTGTCTGTCCGACACCGTCCGTAAATTCATGGATACCCTATGCACCCGAGTGACGTAATTACTGTAAGGATCATCGCCCGCGCTAGCTACCTACACAAAATTCAACATAAAAACACAATAGGTACACATAACCTGTGATGTAACTTTCTTTCATACTTTCATCTTGGCTTAGGACAGGCAAAAAATGAGGAATTAAGGAAAAATTGAGATTTTACTAAAAAAAATGTTGTTTTTTTCATTGAATTTACGTTCTATAAGTGAAACCAAACCACTGGTTTCAAGGAGAACGGTGTTTACACTGAAAACCATGTATATATATATATATAAAATTAGCCACGCTTATATTGTAAACAGAAGCAGCTAGTTACATATCCTATGGCAATGAACTCGTACAAACCATTTCCTTTAATTATTTTGGTAAGGCTCCAATTCAGTCAATGAAGTGTGAAAATTCTATATTTTAGCCCTACAGAGATGAAGAAACTTGGCCAGGGTCCAATTACCTCTTTTTTAATAGATTTTATTGTGATAATGTTGATAAGTTGAAAATACCAATTTTATTCAAGCGTTTATCTATTATTATTATTATATGATATTACCCACATTATTAGCAAACAAGTAATAAGTTATTTTTTTTTAAATTATTTAGAGAACCACAAACAAGTTTACAATATGTCTTATGTTAAAGCTTATGTTCTATTACAATTTATTACTTATTATAAACTCAACGACGATGGTCACACATTGAGTATAAAAAAATAAGATAATATGTGAGGGACCTAGTTTTGTAAAAGAAAAGTATTTTAATTTCTAAAATATTATTTTGACATATATTAGAGGTTAGAGTTTAGTGTGTTAGCATATTTGTGCGTTCGCATGCGATCGCGCACGCGGGTGTATATCTTTATGCATGTACATATATATATATATATATATATATATATATATATATATATATTCATTGGTTAGATGATTTATAATTAGTATTATGTAGTTTAGTTCTTTAACGAGATATTAAGTGTTTAACAGCAAGTTTACTAGCTGTCTGTTATAGGATCTGGCACTGCAAGTAAATAAATCTACAGAATTAAATTTTTTGTTGTATGTGTCAACCATACGATGAAGGGGTGATCTGATACCAGCGTTTGTCCGAGATCTTGGCACAGCAAAGAGTGAGTGAGGACGCAAAGAACGCATACGTGCCCGAGATGGTACGGAGTAACTAATACGATTAATTAAATCTGCGCGATCATACTTGTTATTGCACAGATCATAAAGTAATCTTGCCTCAAGTTGAGTGCGCCTAGACCTTAAGTCTAAGAGCTTATATTTTGTTAAAAGGAGCACATATGATAAACGCTCACGGTGATACTTATAATTAATGCGACGCAAGAACTTTTTTTGTACCATTTCAATGCTATGATTATATTTATTATAAAGTGGGTTCCATACAGGCGCTCCGTACTCCAATTGTGGCCTGACCAAAGATTTAAAAAGATAGATTAAAGTGAAGGGGTTTCTAAATTCAGTGGAAGAACGCATAACAAGTCCGTACATTTTAAAAGCTTTACTAATTATGTTTTGTATATGAATATCAAAATGTAATTTGTTATCAAAAGTCACTCCCAAATCCCTTATATTATTCACCCTTACAATATCTGTACCGTTAAGAGAATAGTTAAAGTAGCTTATATTCCGTTTTTTTGTGAAAGTGATTACTTTACATTTATTTAAATTGAGTCTTAAATTATTAAGAGCACAGTAATTGTGAAATCTATCAAGGTCTTCTTGAAGCAAATAGTGACCCTCTATCCTATCGATGAATTGGTATATTTTGAGATCATCAGCATATAAAAGGAACCGACTATTTTTAAAGCAATTTTTAACATCATTTATGAAGATCACAAACAAGAGAGGACCCAAAATACCCTGTGGGACCCGAAGTGATTTGTAACAATACAACCCTCAAAAAAACAACGCCAATTACCATAAAGCAATCTTCTCCAATAGACACAGTGTCAAATCTTCCATCTGTTTGTGTATTGGTGTCAAGCGCACTAAACAAATCTGATGTGTAAGCGATAAGATTAGTTATAGTAGATACAAAACCATGTTGTTCATCTAAGATAACATTATTAAGCAATAGGGGGTAAATAGCATCATGCACCAAACGCTCAAAAACTTTGGAAAGAATGGGCAGTATTGATATTGGTCTATAATTCATAACGTCACTTTTTGATCCATCCTTGAAAACTGGGACTATTCTTGCACTTTTCCAAATGTCAGGAAATGTTCCATCAGATAAGCATTTATTGTAAAGATAGCACAAAGGAAGATCGATTACAGATGCAGTTACCTTGAAGAAAACACCTGGTATGTTATCCATCCCAGCGCCCTTCGATACATCTAACATTTGCAGGGCTTTACGTACCCGAGATCTAGTCACTTTGATGTTATGAATAGTACAGTCAGATGTATTTTCAAATGGTATGCAAATATCATCAATATCGAAATCATGTGGTACAGATGATCGTTGAAACACAGATTGAAAGAATTTGCTAAATAGATGACAGGACTCTTTTGGACTATGAGAAATAGAACCTTTATATTGTACACTACTTGGGATCTCTGAAATGTTACGGCCTTGAGATATGAACTTCCAAAAGTATTTAATGTTATATTTTATGCTATTTTCAACCTTCGCCATGAAAATTTTGTAGCATTTTTCTGATACTGTTTTAAACTTTTTTCTATATATTGACAATATATTATAATTTGAATTGTTGTTATATTTTTTCATTTTAACCCAAGTTCGATTTTTTTTCTTGAATATCTTTATTAATTCAGGAGTAAACCAGGCAGGATACGAAGAAGCCCTAATATACTTTTTAGGTACATGTAAATTAATAATACTGTAATTTTTTTCATAAAATAATGGAACTGCTTCCTCAGCACTTTTATTTAAAAATATGACATCCCAATCAATATTCACTAATTTTTGCATAAAATCATTATAGTCCGCGTTTCTATAACAGTAGTTGAGATATGGTTTAAGCCGGATGTATCCATGATTTGCATCATACGCAACCGATACACAAAAAGGTGGGTGATGTTTATCCGCAGGAACTAATGCATTTGATATCGGTGACAACTCACAGTCCGTTTTATTAGTGAAAAAAAGATCCAAAGTACGGCCTTTGTCGTTTCTCAAGGAGTTTATTTGAGAGCAATTTAATACCGCCATAAAATTATTTATTTGTATGTGAGATTGGTTAAGATCGCTGATACAAGCACATTGCCCATAGGAATTATTATTCATCCAAACTAAGTCAGGTAAATTAAAGTCCCCAACAATAAAATAATCTGTTACACTAGTATCCACGTCAAGCAACTTATTTTGTAACATATTTAAGTAACTAAGATAAACGTCATGGCATTGTTTTGGCGGAATGTAAACTGCACCTATAAATAAACACTTTTTTGCAAATTTAAATTCGATGAGTATTTGGTCGATAACGGGTGGGAGCGGGGAGGATGTCATAGTGGCAGGTGCGCAGCCGGCAGAGCACAGTGTGCGCTGGATCGCGATCAACACGCCACCTCCGTCACGGCGGCCGCTTCCCGCTCGATCTCGATCCGCACGAAATACCTTATACCTATTGTCTATGTATTCGTTATCGGTTATGTCTGCATGCAGCCACGTTTCAGTTAGTATTACTATATCGTATGATTGAGTAAGTATATTCATAAAAAGTGTATGTAATTTGGTTCTAAGGCCACGACAATTCTGGTAATAGATAGAAATATGCTTATCCATTTTTAAATATAACAATATTATGTGTTGTTAGTAAAAGATAGTTAAAATTATAAAAAAGACTACTTAGATTGTGGTTATTATAGGTTATTGCATACCAGAATCGCCTTACTTTAGTAATATAAATAAGTTTAAATAGTAACCAGTAAAAAATATATTTTATTTCTCCTACTTGATACATATCTGCTTATAGAGCTTAATTTTAGTAAACATGCACAAATAGTATAATCGCCCGATAGTCCCATGGTTGAACATTCATTATTTATATAAGTATAACTAAGACAAAACAACATCAGTAGAAAAGATAACTTAGGATTTAATTTTCTTGAGATCTTGCTCGCTTCGTAGAGCAAAAATAGGAGATGTCTCAGTTTGACGCACCAAAACAGTACCGTGCTTAATCCATGTGAATTTATAATTGTGCTTAGTGGCTTGTTGACGGCACAATCGAAATAATTGCTTGTTTTTAGCTGTAAGATGTTCGCTTACGTACACATTATGTATAGTACCAGGTACCGCCAGCTGGTCTGATTTTAAACCTTTATTTGCCCCTGCTGCCGTGATGAAGTTGTCGCGGATTATTTTCGTTGTAAATTTTATAATAACATTTTTTGAACGCGAACACTTTTTATCGAAATGTGGCACTCTATGGGCTGATACAATGTCCGATTTGCTGACAGGGTGTTTGATGACACAACCAATCTTTTCAATAATAGATAGAAGGTTTTCATCACGTCGTTCTGGTAAGTTAGCAATCTCGACGTTATAAAGCCGCGGCTGTTGCTCCATTGCATCAATTTTATCATTTAATAGGTTAATCTGGCTGGTTACATCATCGTTCGATCTCAGCTGGCTTTCTACCTGTGTCAGACGCGTTACAATACTATCCTGCCTTTCCATCGTATAAGATAGGGATTTGTCGATTGTATCCAATCTATCTCCTAATTCTTTAAAGGAGTTACTTATAGTCGCTGATATTTTCTTTAGCTCTCTATCAATAACTGTATCGATTGAATTTCTGATACTTTCGGCAATGGTGATGTCCAATTGTAATTTCCATGAGCTGAGCTAATCACTAATTTTTTGCTCAACGAACTCTAGTACCGCCTTAACATTTTTATCATCAGGCTGCTTACGTTTTCGGAGACTCACAAAAGTATTATCATCAGCGCCACACCTTTCGGGTAGTTCTGAATTTGATGAATATTTTAGCCTCTGTGCCGGAGGTGTTGTTGGTGGCGGAGTACGCTGCATCGTATTAGTTCGTGTGTATGACAAAAATAAATAATCTACTCTGTCCTTTCTTAGCGGGGGTGAAGTATGCTCGCCCCGCTGCAACGAGTCCAAGAAGCGATGCCAAAATAGGACAGAGAAAGTGATCCGAGTGAACAAGCGATATGCCCACAATACGTCACTGTTACATCAACACACACTATTTTCACACTTACACGCAAGACAATAAAGTATAAATTACAATGTTCTATAATGTTAAATTTTGCATTAAATTTTTCACACGGCCTCTCTGTATGGGTCCCGCACGACAATGAAACCTGCATACCTTAAAAATAATTTTATATTTATAAAAGCGCAGAATATAAAACATATAAGTCACATATTTTCGTTTTATATGTTTTGTCGAATCGTGTTTGGAAGCAATCCAAATTGGTAATATAAAAATTATTTGGAAAGTTGTAGTCAAAGCAAGCAAATAAGCTAGTTATATTGTGAAGTACAACACAATACACTATATTACAATTGTGAAAGACGAGAATTCATTGACTTTTTTATTATACGTTCCTTATCATCATTCATCATTACAACAACCTATCAATGTCCACCGCTGAACTCTGAATGCTGACTCTCCCCTATGCTTCGTAGGAGGGACAATTGTCATAATTGCTACGATTGGCGTGCGAGTTGACGAACACAGTTTATATTGATTTGAGTTGTTATTGGGGAAATACTGGAGCTTATCTCTTTTATTTTAGTTGCTTTCTGTCGCTTCTTATACTAACCTCACGTTTAATTTGAATTATCCGGCTGTATAACGTCAATCAAGACTGTGCGGTTTGTACCGTATACGTAACGTTGTAGATAGGTCTCGCTCTGCACACGTCGTTCTATTATGTTAGTGAGAGAAGCACAAACCCGAATTTGACATTTTTTGAAATCGTACTCTATATTTACGATTTAACTTGAGTTTACAAGGATTTAATAGTTGATTCTGTGTTAATTTCAATAGCGATTTAGTGAGAACACCGATTTTTGTTGCTGTTAAAGTGCTCAAATTCAGATCGCATCAAATATAATTACACTTCGGAAATTGCAGCGAGCTGAAATATGCAGGTTAAGTCGTTTGTAATCAAAATTAAATAGTTATAACTTTCATTTTATTTCTCCATGAACTGGTTTTATAATATTTGTATTTCTCTATATATAATAAATGAATACGTTAATATGAAAAAAGTAGGACTGCGCTGGTTGATTGCAAGGCACGCTTATAATATGCCTTTGTGGCCTCAACATTCAGTTAAGTATTGTTTTAAGATAAAGAATGATAAGCAAAGTTAGACTTACTAAAAAGAAAAAAATTGTAAATACAAATGTACATGCCTTAAGCACTTATGTTATACGTCAATTTTTTTTAAAATTTTTAATTACAAACATGTTTTCTCAAATAAAACCTCGTTAATATCCATACTTAATATTATAAATGCGAAAGTGTGTTTGTTTGTTTGTTTGTCCTTTTTTCACGTCGCAACAGAGCATCGGCATGGCATTATTTTTTGTATGGGGATAGTTCGGTGGCTGTAGAGACATAGGCTACTTTTTTACCGCGGAAAAACATCTCATTCCCGTGGGAAAATCGAATATGTTGCACAAGTTTGTCCTTCTTTAACGTCGCAACAGAGCGTCGGCATGGAATAATTTTTTTGTTTGGAGATAGTTCGGTGGCTGTAGAGTGACATAGGCTTCTTTTATCAGCGGAAAAACATATCATTCCTGTGGGAAAATCGAATATGTTGCAAAATTAAATTCAGCTAGGTGGCGCCACCGTGATTCTACAAGACGGACGACGGTACGACGGACGAACACAGAAGATATCTGGAATATTATGTCTTTTTATCAAACTTAAGATAAAAAATGTATGGATCTGTATTTCTCCACGCAGGACCGGGAAGAGAGCGATAAAAAACATAAAATTCACCAGCTGATTTTCTTCAAACGCTTTGGTGCATTGTAATTCACAGAATAGGCGATAACCTCACAGACGATATTAAGTAATCCGTTGTTGCTCTGCCTACCCCGCAAGGGTTACAGGCGTGATTATAAGTATGGATCAGAAATACTATCACCATCTCTCACGCTTTCACCCTTAACTATTACTTAACTGTGGTAGGAACAGTTCTTAGTAAGCATTATTAATAAGCCTTAGTAATATTTATTTAACGGAAATGAATAAAGTTCTTATATGTGGTTATGAATGAATCGGTATTACAAAAAGAAAAATTGTGCAAATTTATAAGAAAAATATTTTTGAGAGTTCTTATTAACTAACGTATACGTAAACTATTTACGGGGGTTATGGAATAACGAAATGTTTCCTGACATGTACTTAACTCCCGCCGTTGAGCCGCGCGTCAACTTAAAGTGCATACGGTACCTATACGCTATACGCTAGTAGTTTTCGATTTCGGTTGTTTGTTATTTGCTTTGTGATTTGGTTGAAAGTGAATGAATTTATATTGGCTTTCATTTTCGGATTTTTGTATTTTCTTGGATCGGTTTTTTTTGAATTGGTTGGTAATCTTTTATACATATTTAGACTCTGGCTTTGATTTTGGATTTTGTTTATTTAGAATCGTGAATTGGTTTTCGTTGTTTTAGGTTGTTTAACAATATTTCAAAGGAATATTAATAGTATAGATAGTGTATACGGTACCTATACACTTACTTCTTTTTTCGTTGGTTATATTTATATTGACTACCGCTTTCGATTTCGGTTTTCTGCGAATTGTTTTGTGATTTGGTTTAAGTTGATTCGATTTTTTAGGCTATCGTTTTCGGATTCGTGTTGTGTCTTGAATTGGTTTTGGTGTATTGATTTTAAAAAATATTTAAAAGTAATATTTATACCTTTTAGATATTTTGGATTTTCTTTTAAAAAGTATTTAAAAGGAAATTTAATTCCTTTTAGGTATTTTAACGGTTTTTTTAATAAATAGGTTTTTTGTTACTTCATAATGCCTCGCAAACGTAAGTCCAGCCTTTCAAGAGTATCTTCTCAAAGACAAGCGAAAAGATTAGCTCGATCGCTAGAATCTTTAGAAGATGCTGAACTGAGAAGGCAAGAACAAGCAGAGCGTCAGGCTGCTTTTAGAGCATCTGCGACACCTTCTCAACGTAAGGAAAGGCGTCTTGAACATACGGAGAGTTAGGCTGCTTTAAGAGCTTCAGAAACACCTTCTCAAAGTCAGGAAAGTCGTCTTGAACAGGCAGAGCGTCAAGCTACTTTAAGAGCTACTGAAACACCTGCTCAAAGTCAGCAAAGGCTATTCAAACAAGCGGAACGTCAGGCCGTCTTAAGAGCCGCGGAAACACCTGATGAAACACAACACAGACTCATAGCATAAATTTTTACAAGTATATTTTATGGGTGATGAAGAAATTGAGGTAGAACGTCGCTGCCAATTTATCCAGGGAGTTGAGAGAAACACAGTGTTCAAAATTCAAAGATTCTTGCATGATCGTAACATTTTAGTCAAAACATTTAAAACTGCTTTAGAAAACCTACCTGAAGAAGATTATAAAGTCGTCATTCACGCAGATTGGACCCCTCGAGGAGAGCATGAATGGCGCTACAATGCACCTTTGGTAAACGAAATAGCAGCCGTAATTAGTGGTGATCAATTTTCTTCACGAGACATTGTCTTGCGAGCACGTGATGATACGTTGCAACGGGTAGCCAAAACACAAAAGTTTTATGACGCTCTGCAATACCCATTGATTTATTGCAGAGGACAAGAGGGTTATCATTTTCAAATTCCACTCATTAACCCCGTCACAAAGGAGCCTACTCCGAACAAAAAATATCATATATGGATTTTTATGCGTATCATATGATGTTGCGGGAAAATCATTTTATCCTCTTAGCCCGGTGTAGACAATTATTTCATCAATTTTTGGTAGACATGTATGTGAAGGTAGATAGTGAACGTCTCCGTTATATATCTTTAAATCAAAAAAAGCTGCGCGTTGAGAATTATATATATTTACAAGATGCAGTTTCTAGCGACGCCAATGTAAACCCCAGAGATTTAGGTAAAATGGTAATTCTGCCCTCATCATTCGTTAACAATTCCCGCTACCCACATGTGTACACACAAGACGCATTCGCCTATGTACGAACTTATGGAAGACCTGATCTTTTTGTTACTTTTACTCAAAATCCCACATGGAAAGAAATAACGGAGGAGCTAATGCCAGGCCAAAAAAAGTACTGACAGACACGATTTAGTTGCTAGAGTATTTAGATTAAAAGTATAAAAATTAATGTATGTAATTAACAAAGGGAAAATTTTCGGAGAGGTGCAGTGCTTCATGTATTCAATTGAATGGCAAAAAAAGAGGATTCCCGCATGCCCACATTCTAATATGGCTTAAAGACAAGTTACGGCCCAGCCAAATAGACGACATAATAATCGCTGAGATTCCGGATCCTGAGCAAGATAAAGAATTGTATGATACCATCGTCCGAAATATGATTCACGATGTATGAAAGAAGGAAAATGTACAAAGAAATTTCCTAAACAGCTATTAAAAGAAAAAGTGCACAATGACGATGGCTACCCTTTATAAAGACGCAGAGCTCCCGAAGATGATGGCAGGAAAGTTACAAT